CGCCAGAAGTGAGCTGGTTGGCATATGAAGGAATAATTATGGTTTTCTTTATTGATGTCGGTGTGGAGAGAGGGGCCAGGCACACAGAGGGGCCCTTCTGCTTCAGTGTTATGAAACCTGAAACGGGGACGTGGCTGGCTACTCCAGCTGGAAACAATGCTCCCTCTCACTGTGGTGCATTCTTTCCGTCCCCTTCTTTCTTTTTTCCTCAACTTTGTTTGCAAAATCTACCTTTTTTGGGGGCCACCAAGCTTATCTCTCCATGCCTGTGATTGCAAATGGAAAAAGCCGAGATTAGACACAACATTTTTAATAGCTTGAGTGGCAAGCTACATCAATCGACAGAAGGATCACTATTGATTTGATATTGTTGGTGTGGTCAGTGTTTAGACTGAATGATAACCAAGGGATCAGATTCTAACCACAGACTCTGTGGGATGCTTTGGAAGTTTCTTAACTTAAAGATACCTCCCAGGGTTGATATGGTGACACCTGCAGTTAACAAACAGAAACAGAATCAAAAGCATTCCTCCAACACTGACCATTGAATACATTTTCTGAGCTTCTCATTTTGTGTGACTACACACATTAAGCGATGGATGACTGCAGGTGTCTTCAAAACTAAACAGCACATGAGCAGGAAATGGCTTAAACTAATTCAATCATTGCTATTTCAATATTGGATTTGTCCTGTGGTTGATACGTCTAGATTTGAATACTGTCCCTCTTTAAATCAATAAACTCCTTTTTGAACTGCTGTTTATGTCAAACGGAAAGAAATATGGTGGCAGCACACATTGCATGACCACCTGAAATATTTAAGAATTAGCGGTCTGCCTCTGAGTACGTGGTGCTCCTTGCTCGCACTTCCTGTATTTATTATAAGAAGTGGCATTTAAAGCTTAAATCATGGCTGAAATAGCATCCTGATAATATTGTTAGGTATCAGCCACTCCTTCTGGTCAATGTGGTTAATTCAATACCAGTAGACAGCACTGGGAGGGGAGGAGAAAGGGGGAAAGACAGAGAACCATAATCTAATCCATAAGTGCATTTTTGTAAATACATCACTTATCTGTTTATGGAGGCTTTTGTAGATACAAGCTCTAGCAAGATTACATTCACAGCCTAGCCCAAACTCACGTATTTACCAAAAGCTGACAGGAATAGTCTTGGAAGGAATAATGTAATTATTTATCAAGTGTTATAATATGAGGAGTAGGACGGTAGTAGAAGTACAGGAGCTTTACCTCACACATTTAAAATACAGAAGATGATATTATAAACATTTGGTTCTAATGCTGGAGGTGGAGCCATTTCTAAGTTGGCTTTATTTGTTAACCTTTGTCATTTTTGTCCTCATGCAATTGGGGGACATCCTGGTCTTACCAGTGCTATGCTTTTTATTGGGCATCATCCATTGTCCCTTAAAGAGGACAACAATGATTTGACCTCAGTCTACTCTATGTACAACCACCATATACTGACTTTGTTAAGATCCAGGACAGCCATGATAAATGTAGACCAAACATTGCTTAAAAGTGTCTTTGTTTGCAAATGATGATTGTGAGTGCTACTAATCCTTTCTTCCACTCTTGCTTTACATTCACATCAACATTGTTGGTCTCCAGAACCCTAACCCTAGCCTGACTTTAAGAGGCTCTTTGTTTTTATAGCACAGAGTTGATGCCAGACTCACATTTTTGGTGCTGTGGCCAGTGCTCTGTTAGTCAAATCAGAAAAAACTGCCTCTATGTTATGCTCTGGAAACATTTTGGGGACATCCCATCCAGAATCCCCTCCCTCCAGGAGGTGAAATTCCGTGTTCTCCTTGGGGGAAAAAAACCCTCAAAGAAGTTGAGCTGACACGGAATAGTCCTGGTATTTGGTCAATCCTTTCCTCCTATCACCTTTGACCCCGGATCTGTGCGGCATAGGCTGGGAAATGTGGTTCTCTTTCCTTTAAGAGAGGTCATCTTTTGTCCCGTTTTATTATTTTTTTTGTTCAAGCTTCCTGAATGCCAGCACAAAGGCGACCATAAAAGCAAAGCAATTTGCTTTGGAACAAGACCTGTCTGTTTCTGTTTAGTGTCTGTAAAAGGCTTTGAATTGGATGAAGGTTTGGTGATGTTCTGACCAGGGGCCTCTTGGAAGTCGGATTAGTATCTAAGTGAGGTAACTCTAGGTTCAACTTTGGGTTTTCAGTGTGATGAAGCTGGTGCACTTATTGGGATGATATCACCATGGCGACTAATGCTGGAAAACTAACCTGCTCTGCAGTGATGTGCCTGACAAAAGATGAAAAGTCTGAAAAGCATAATGTTCCTGATCAGTTTATTATCTGAGTAAATGAAAAAGTACACGCAATTTTAGCCTTGTTTTTGTTGACTAAAAAATTATTAAGATATTCATGGGAATATAGACATTTCCTTGCCAATTCCCATATAGTGTATAAGCACATTGTGAATCATAGTGTCTGTATTGCATTAGATTTTGCCCGTACACACTCGTATCCACACCCAACTTTTGAAGTTACTGCTATGTAAAAACATGTAAGCAACTAAAAGATTTTCATGCTTTCTAAATTCCGTTTTATTCAATCAATTCCTTCAATTTGGTAATATACATAAATATTTGATAAATATTGTCCAGGCAAGTTGTTGCTGTTTTCTCTCAAACACCCAAATAAGCATTTGGTGAGCTCCAGAAGTCTTTGTTATCTCTGCTACACTCCATCCCCATCCTTTTGTTTGACGCTTACGTTCCTGCAGCTCAGGAACATAGTGGCACCGCAACGTCTGTGCTGTCTGACTCCCGCAGCTGCCAAGCTTTCAGAGTGAAAATGTTCAGTGCTGCAAATTTCCCCGCCCTGCTTGCTGAAAGACTCCGCTGAGGCATACAGCTGTGTTAGCTCTCTCTGCTTGGTGCTGGAGTATGGCCACAGGTCAGATGGTGCTGCTTTTTTGTTTTTGCCATGGTTACTTTGGAGTCTAAGCATAAAAAGAAAAGCCAGGGCGGGGAGGTAAGAGTTCTTGAAGGGTCAATTGGTAGTGTAAAACCTCTAAAATACACAAGTCCCCGAGTTACTCTGCACCTTTCTTCCCTCTGGAATGAATTCCTTGGGTATTTACCATATCATTCAGCCTTTTAACTTAAACTATTTAAGTTAATTATAAGTATTGATTTGGAGAGAACTTAATGGTTGTTATATGAGATAAACAACACATCTACAATAAGCTGTCACTTAAGTTTGTCACAATACCCCTCCATTTGGTTTACCTGCAGCCCCCCACCCTATTCCTCATAAAATCTAGTATCAGTAGTGCATTATATGATACTGGGAGCAGTCGGTTTATGTTGTTGGAAAATAAATATAAGGGTGGTTTTAAAATGCCATTGATTCCCTCACCACACTAGTTGGTGTGGCAGAGCATTTTATCGCTAAAAAATACCCACTGCTGTCCATGCTTCCTTAACACAGTGAGAAATAGGTGTGCTGTCCGTTTTTTTTATTTATATAACCCATAGCGTCCGTGGCATTTGCTATGTTTGTGACAAACATGAGGCCGTATCTAACACTCTGCAAACTGGAGGAGAGCAAGGGCAGGAAATGAGGTTTCTATTGACAGCAGTGCGAAGTTCACAATGTTTCTATTGAGCTCCGGGCCAGTGTCTTCTCTTGTCTTATAAAATTTGTGCATCCAGCTGTCATTTAGTCAGGGTCAAACCCTTAAATGTATACCTCTTTAATTTGCTGTCCGAACATTTATAGAGGTAAATTGGCAGGATTACTGAATAAAAGCAGCTTTATTGCCCCTGACGGTCTGTGATGTCCATGTACAGTTCAGCAGGACCTCTTGCAGCGCATCCAGAAAACTTTTTAATTATTAGGGCAGCAATAACAACAGCCCATATCCATTGTACATGTTTTGATAGACCTTATCTGACATTATCCCTCTGACTCAGATGTACTACACAAACTGCAAGTCGACCCCCAACTCAGACAGAAGCAGATGTTTTTGGCACAGACTGAAAGCAGATAAGCGACCAAATTAGACCGTTTTGCTTATCTATTAGGTTGTACTGCTGCTCTCTTTAATGTTCAGACAAATTTCATGAGATCTGTTACGTGTGGTCGAATGATCTGGCTGTTCTCTGGATGGTTTGTCTCCAGGGAAAGTTGTAAGTTACAAGTCAGCACCTTGAGACAAGGCTTTCTGGACTTCTTTGAGAAATGTCTCTGATGAGTTATGAATTGCCTGCTCGCACGTGCCTGTGTTTGTATTTTAAGGCATGGAATAAAAGTTCCTTGAGTTCCTTGAATAAGTTATGCTTTTATTCACGCAACTGAAAATACAGATCCATACATAGGATGTAAAGATGCCTTTAAAAGTCTTCCCTGACTTGCCCTCTCTTCTTGCTTCCAGGTTCCTCTGTGGATTTGAGCCGCTGACCCATTCACTCAACTGCATCCTAAATCCTGGTGGGATCACAGTTGATATTTGTCGCTCCCCTCTCCAGCTTCTGTTTCCTTCAACCTCATCCTCCATACGCTTTCCTCCCCTTTCTTAAGCTCTCCTCCCCTTGACAGTGTCTCCCAGCCCCAGGCTTATTACTCAAATGCACTGATGGGAGCAACACAGTAGTTGGCAAAGGATGAAGCAGGTCCGCTCGCCAGCGCCAGACAGAGGATAGACGACACAAAAGGGCTAGAAAAAGGGGGAGAGTCAGTGAGAGAAAGAGAGAAATATAGAAAAGACAACCAGTGGAACAAACTGCCACAAATCTGTGAGAAACAACAACAGTCAAGATGCCACGGCGAAGGAAAGACACAAGTTTCACTTGAAGTGTCATGAGCTAACAACGCGCCCCAAACAAATCCTGAACTCTGGACTTCTTTTTCTTAACACATTTCTCTCCTACAGCCAAAACGTAAGTAGTGGAGACAATCGCTCCTGCTGTCCGGGGCTCCCTGTTAACACCTGCTATGTCTCTGTAAGACGTCTTCGCCATGCCGGCTAAGGGAAAGTACCTGCTGAATGACCAGGAGCTCAAAAATGAGGCGTTGTACCGCAAATTCTCCTGCATCAGCCAGTACCAGCCACTGGTACTCTTACTGGGCCTCTCTATGCTCTATTGTGGAATTCTCCTCATCCTCTTTTTTGCCCTTGGACTGGTGAGTTTGCACATCCACGTTTGCACGCAACATGCACATTATGAATGCACTTTGCCTCTACTTTACAATTAATTTGATGTTAATATTTAATCATATACTGAAAGAACAACGTAACCAGATCTAACCTTGTTACATTTTATAGGATAAATATTACACAAAGGCACTTTTGCACAAATCTCCTGAACATATGCTTTTTGACATCCAACCCTAAGAGTTATTCACTCAAGTATTTTAGCTCATAAGTCAGTGTGGTTACACATGGACTTTCGCCTTTGTGTTTGTTACCCACAATGATGTCATGTTTTTTATGTCTGATTGAATAAATTATGCTTGATAAGCTGTCCAAATTTGCACAAACACAGTTACAACCCTTAAACCTACTTAATGACTAACCAAAATGCTCTTCATAAAAACAAACTCAGATCAAAGCTTCAAGTTCTATTTCAGTCACAGTTAAAGAGAGGGATACAGACATTCTGTAGACATTTTTCTAGTTATCTCAGGATTATGAAAGCAGAATAGAAAAAAAATCATATTTATCATATGTACAAATCTAATCAGCTAAAAGAATCTTTTAGGTTTCATTACCCGGTTTATGTAGCGTTGATGATGATGGGGTATTGATTAATGCTTAGGGATAGCTGTTGCAGTTCATGTGAATTCTACATCTTCCAACAGATGTTTAGTTTGAATCACCAGCCGCAGTATGAATGCATGGAAATAAAACAGTCTTTTACCTTGATCACTACTTACATAAGGCTTCTAACTCCCCATCACCACCAGTGCAGCTGCAGAGCAGTGTGAATGAGAGAGTTATTGTGTAACTGGTTGACCATGGGGGAGGGAACTACTGAAACTCACGGTAAAATAAAAGAGACTTATGTCAGTTACCATTTCTAAATGATAGAAGAGGAAAACTTATATATTACTAAAATTAAAATGCAAGACAAAAACACAAAAGAAAAGGGAAATTCCATGAAACGATTTATAAACTTTTGTTCACGTTGAGAAAGGAGCAGCTGGTAATAACTCTATTAAGTACAGTAAAAAGAGGGGGAAAAACTAGCTGTTTAAACTGAAAATATAGAGATTAAATCAAGGGGGGATAATACATTTTAACTGTCAGAACGTAGAGATGTTTTTTGAGCTTCTGACTTCTGCTGATTAGGGACATGCTGTTGACTTTGGTGGTGAAGCAGGCAGCAGTTCATCGAGTCCAGCTGGTCATATACTGAACTGACAGCTTCTTTCAGTGAAGATTATATTATTTTCCCTGTTGGAAAAGCCAACTTAACCTTCCTTCTATTGTGTTCTTGCAAGCTCTGTGGCACACTCCCTTATTCTCTTGTCTCACTCCTGGACAATGGCTTCATTCCACATGATGTTTACATTCATAAAACACACAGAGTGATTGTCAGTTTCCATCCTACTTTATTGTCACTGTAACCATTTACAGCCTGAGGCTCCATATGAATAAACCTACATGAAAGACTTTAGATATGCAAGATTCTGACACCACCTGACAGTCAATCACTCAGTGCGTCATGCCTTTGTTTCCTTTCTTCCTCAACATCTCTCTTGCACAAACACATGGCTGGGGCGTAGAGTTTGTGTTTCCAGGGGTACAGAACAGTTTGGAACAAATGTTGGAATGGACCTTGTATAACACAGTTGTTAAATTTAAAAGAGAGGCACAATGCTATTCAAGGGGTGACTGCCGCAGTCAGAAAGTCAGTGTCCTCTTATGTAACCCCTCTTCAGTCAGGGCTATACAATGACGGCATTGTGGAGGATGAAACTCCACAAACTGATGTTCCGAGTCTATCTCCTAACTGCGGTGTTAGGTCCCGTCTGAATGAAGTTCCAGTTTAACTACTTATTATGACCAGTCTTTTGTTAGTTTTTTAATGCTCTGTAAAGTCAGTGGGTTTACAATTTCTGAGAACTCTAAGGGCATAATAATCTATTGATCATGCAGCACAACATATCCTACATTTGTGGATTTCTGTTATTTTGCCCCCATTTCCATTCCTTATGTATTGAAGGCACTGCTGTCCTCACACATGTGCCTTTTGTCATAGCATAGCTATTAGAAGATTTTTTCCCCCACTTATTTTCAATACAATAAGTTATATATATATATAGGAGCAAACATTATGGAATAGAGAGTTATATGTGAGCATTAATTCAATAGCAAGTAATGTGCTGAAGGTTATAGGTGTATTTATTCATATGATTTTATTTCCTGGTAACTGTTCTTTCTCTACTAAAAAAGGTTTCATCAAGACATATGGCTACACGGGGAGCTGAAAGTGGTTTAGCTGAGATCTGGCCTTTTCTAGTGCTGCCATGGTAACCACAAAGCTCAGCATACAATGCAGCGATGGCCTTCTACACATGGAGATCTATTAACATTGACTTTGTGCATCTGTCTCACTCTTGAGTGTTCTTTTAACCCCTTGTTTTCTCTCGTGTTGTTCCTCCAACAAACACTCTGACATCCACTCAAACGACAACAATTACACACAGCTCCCTTGGCTGCACTTCTTCACAACATTTCTACACACATTCATTTTGTTTGTCCTCATTTTCATCCTCAAATGCCCACTCCGTTCCCCCTGTGCATGCCTCTCAGTGTACATTAACTCAGCGAGTTAGATGGTGACCTGGAACAGCGACAGGTGCGAAATACAAACAGAAATTAGCGAAAAGATATCACTCACAACAGTTTCACTAACAGCTATAGCTCGGGTTTCTTGCACTGCAAAAGTAACACAGCATTGCACTTAACCTGAAAAAGTATACATCTTTTATGATAACTAATGTGTTTGCTTTTTTTTCTCCTCGTTTTTTTTTTTGGCACAGAGTCCAGCGGAACATTGTGCCTTTGTGAGCCTGGTGAGCGGCAGCCTCTGTGTGTTCCTGGCTGTGTTTCTGCTGGTGTGTACAGAGCTGCTGTCACAACGGTGGAGGCGTCCACTGGGCCTGATTGTCTGGGCCACACACCTCATTTTGGGATACACCTTCATTTTCAGCTACCCTATCATCATGCCATGGGACCAGGTAATCGGATTTAGATTACATCTCTTTTGGCATCAGCATTTCATTAAATTATTTTCACAATCTTCATACGCATCTTAAAACAAGGGGAAGGAAAGGATGAACTGAAAATGCTGAAAGAATTTTCATTTATGTTTCCAGGTGCCTTTCTTCCTCTTCATTATCTTCACAGTGTACACCATGCTGCCATTCAAGTTGTGGCATGCTGTGGTGCTGAGTGTCATTTCCTCCCTGTCCCACATTATTGCCCTCACAGTTTACAGCGAAAAAACTGCCCCTTACCTGGCCAATCAGGTGAGCATTTTGAAAGAATCTCTCTCTCTCACATGCAGAGTGAACTATGCAGACAGTCATTATAACATGGCTCATAAACTCAGATGATAATTGGTTCTGTAGCATACGACTGGATGTACATTACACTTATCTGCTACAAATTCTATGTAAATACTCGGAAAGTATACATAGTATTTACATAGTTTACATAGTATTTCTATGTCTAGATAAAATGCCTGTTAGTGTGCCAACGTTTGAGGTTTATTTCTAAGATCTGCTGCTTTGCTCCTCCCTTCAGCTGCTGTCCAATGCTGTAGTGTTTCTTTGTGGAAGTGCAGTGGGTGCATTTCATAAGGTCCTCATGGAGAAAACACTGAGGCAGACATTCCAAGATACTCTAAGATGCCTGAGCATGCGGATGAAGCTTGAGATTGAAAAGAGACAACAGGTTTGTATGACAAAGTGGTCTTCAAAGGTAGTGAACAACTGCATTTTGTCTGTGAAGAACACGCCAATATATCTTAAAGCCCAATTGAAAGGTATTTGTTTAACAATTATAAAAGCACTTATAAATGACAAAAAACACCCAAGAAGAACTGGAAACAAGGGCCAGCATAAAGTAAAAAAAGACCACAAGGAAAAAAACAGGAAGCAGAGCACTGACAGAAACTGGGGATAACTGAAAGTAGAACCATGAAAACAACAAAAATAGAGTACCAAAGGCACACTTCTACAACTAAGAAAAAAAAACTACCCCCCCGAAAAAGTCCAGAATCCCAGAACAAAACCCCGGTCCTATGTGTGTGTATTTTCTAAAGTATTTTACTGCCACTGCTTTTATTGTCTTTTCTGTATAATGAAAACCACATTAAAGGGAAACATTAGAGACAAATTATGAAAATAGCCCATCAGTAATCATTATCACCACACTTTTCTATCCTTTATAAGCAACCCCTTTGGCTGCTCTCAAGTTGGCTCTCAGCTGGGCATTTTCATTGGAAATAACAAATCCCCTCACAAATTGGATTTTCCTTGTGATGCTTTTTAAATGAGATGCATCTGTACAGATTCGTCTTGACTTTTAAGAACAATTTCCCCATTTTGTCATCTGTTGTGTCTTCACTAAGTGAAGAACATAAAAGAAAAGGCTAAAATGGAGGCTGCCAAGCTCGACAGAAAGGAACGAAACAGTTGTTAACGTTTAAATCTTCTGTGAACAGAGGCTAGAAAAAGAGCTTCTCCAAAAAGAGAAAAGACATCAAGATCCAATACATTTCACCAGGAAGAGCCCAGAGTGGGTTTGAGGGACAAATTGCTGTTCATATTTTGTTTCCCCTTTTCCAACCAACTTGGATCAAATCCCATGAATTGATTTTTTTTTCTATAGAGGAGTATGAATTGGCACAAAAACTTTACATAGCAGGAATATCATGTTGACATTATGAATTAAATCATCTCAAAAAGACCCATTTTGTGAAAGAGACTTTTTTTAATGAATAGCTTCAGAAGTGAATGAAAGGTGGGAATGCAGCACACACACACGATCACAGATGAACAGACATGCGCAGAATTCATTGTCCAAGTTGAGGTCCCAACCTTGAACGTTCCCTCGTTTTTCATTGAGGCAGCTGGTCTCTAAAATTGGGTTTTCTTGTTTGTTTTTGGTTTTCACACTCACCGACTTACAATTCTAGCCTCCGAGAAGCTTAGCTGCTTCAAATTCAAAATGATTTTCTTCTTTTCAGCTGCACTTACAAAACTGATTTCATGTAAACTGAAAGATTCTATAAAGATGAAAAAACAGCACCTTTTTCTTGCCAACAGGTCAAGCAAGTAATATACAGCATGTGTTTGCTTAATGTTATGCCAAAATCAGAGAGTACTCTCTGCTCCCCTGGCAACCAAAACTGGAATAATGTATTCATGATTCTGCAAAATACATTTTAGAGTCACTTCTCCTGTATTCGGTTGTAAGTATACATTATTTTCCAGCAGGACAGTGAAATGAAGTATAAACTAGATACATACACAAATATCTTCACTGAGAGATTGCAAGTTTTCTCATGTGACCCATGAGAACATCCTTGGAAATCTGTGAACCAAGTGATGTTAACGGTTGAGATGTTTGGCAGCTGTTCACTCATGAAGCTGTCAGCCACTCTCAGTGACTTTTAGCAAATATGAAAGGTATAAATGGGGAAAGAAATGATACAACCACTTTCAAATGACGATCTCAAACCTGAAGGTTGCTTTCCAAAAAAATAAAACAAACTTTTGTTTGCTCTGTCCACCATTCATCATTACGTCAATCCACATCTCTAAACTCTGTGCAGTGACCTTACATATAAAAACATTTAGCAGCTAAACTACCGGTCCGTCAGTACCGGTGAACTGTGGTCGGATGATACAACCTGATGCCCTTGCAGTGGTATAAAGCGGGATTAGTCATTTCATAAGAAGTCACCTCTTTGAATCTCTTTCCTAGTTAAGCCATTGAACTTTAAAAACCCATCAGGGCTCTGGCCATTGTAGCAGACTGACTCTCATGCTATTTTTTTGGTGGAGTAAATACTTTGCGCCATACCTATTCTTAAACCGTCGAGAAAATGATCTCCCTTGTCATGCTTTTGAATGTCTTGGCTATAATTTGGATGTCTGTGGAACCACTATACTTTAAGCTTTACACTAAGCTTTATGAATATACTTGTCCCAGTTCTGAGTAGAATGGACATTTCTACAGAAACAATAACGTGACTATTGCATATACAGAGTACGGCTGCCACATGGCTATTTTCAGGCAATGTTATTAGCTCAGAAACAGCAGAATATCTCCATTTTCATCTTGCTCACCCAGATTTCAGCTGTTTGTTTGAGTCCTTGTTTACAGCATTAGTAGCAGCGCACCCGAATGGTCATTATGTAACGCAGCGAAAGAAAGAAAAAGTCTCACTCTCTGCGCTTGAGCTAGAAAGGCACAGAGAAGGACTGTCCTGCACAGGGAGTAATTAATGTTTGTTCTAAACATTGCTCCATTTTCCTGGTAGATTCTTGTCTGAAGAGAGAAATGTATACTGATTGGGCTCTGAAAAAATATGAGACTTGATGAGTCTAACTGGCAATAGTGTGATTTAATGAGCATTCCTACATGCATGGTCAAGTATTGATTCTGTGTTTAAGAGGGGATGGAGAGATGTGAGAGATTGAAATAGACAGGAACTGTAAAAACCTTAAGTACATTGTAATAAAAGTGCAACACATAGTTCACTATTTGCTTCAAATAATGGAAAATAGCTGAACAAGAAAACATTATACTAAAAGCAGATCAGTTTATACTGCTACATTATTTAAAGTGAGCCAAAAATGATGATAGGAAGGATGTAAGTTTTTGTGGCTCTGAGCTTGTTTCCAGGTAGCCTGTTCTTTTCCTTTTTTTTTTCTTTCTCATTTTTCAAGGCTGTAGCACTTGCGGATGGACATTGACTGCAATTCATACAGGCTTAATTTCCTGGCTCATTGTGATTGCAGTTATATAACTAAGGTTGTGTGTGCATGCGTGTTTGCAGGAAAACCTGCTGCAGTCTGTGCTCCCTGTCTACATCTCCATGAAAATGAAACTGGCCATTATGGAACGCCTCCAGGACTGTAAGGATAAAGAAGAGCAACAACGACTGGTCAAAGATAACAACTTCCACAGCCTTTACGTCAAGAGACATGAGAACGTCAGGTACAAGCACTATAACCTGAAAGGCGCTTTTTGTCTTTTTCTTTTTTGTTGTTGTTGTCAAACATCTATATTTTGGTCTCAAACCCTTGAATATGAAGTGTTATCATGCTTCATAGCCCTGCTTTTCTATACTTGCTCAGGACAGCTTGCCACTGATTTGTTAATGGATTTTTAGTTATAACAGATAACTAGAAATAAAATAATTGTCAGTATAGTAAAGTGTTACCAGGAAATAAGCCTAAACCTAAAAGCTCTTCTGTCACGGAATGGATAAAGCAAAGATCTTTTTTCAAATTTCCCAAAATTTGAAAAACAGATCCTAAAAAGAAGTCAAACTAAAGATATTTGAGTTGAATTGGACTTTCTTTGTCCAGCCTAATTAAAGGATATACAAACTCAAACTCCATTGTTTCTGTCCTATTTCTGTAGCAGTGCTTCACAAAACAAACACAGAAAGGAAGAAGAAGAAGAAAAAAAAACAGTAATTCACAAAAAGGAGATTTCCCTGACCCATCATAATGATGGAGATTAATATGTCTGTTTGTTGTCAGGGCAGTGACCCAGATTCAGCTATCCTGTATGAGGGTTTCATTAATTTAGCTAGTGCCGACAGATATTGGGGCAGCTTAGACTGAATTTTGGCAGATGGCATACTAGCTGATTTGTTTGATAAATGTAGAAGCGCTGCAATTCCTGCCTAAGTGAAGAAATTGTTGAAATGCTTTGTGAATGCCCCATCCCTCCGGATGCTTTAGTTTGTGACATATGTGACCCAGAAATAATTTAAGGGTGCATATTCTTGCATAAACTTACATTTCACCGTAAAGTATCTTAAACAGATATAGCAATTTGTTTTTGTTTTTAAATAATGGTTATAAGAAGTTCTAACACTTCATTTTATCTGCAGTGAAATTAAAGATTTAATTATTTTAAGTTTTCCTTGGTCAAGGGGCCATTTTAACAGTATCTTTCATGTTCATTTAAGGTCACAGTAAAATGGTGTTGGCTGATAGACTAGGTGCTTTATTCTTTCCCTGTAATTACCTCTGTCAACCCAGTGATTATGTGTCCTTGCAGTCTCTTGAAGCACCTGGCATTTTCCGTCACACTGTGGAACAGTTCAACATTATGCAGTGTCTGTGCTCCTTCATTGGTCAGCTGTACTCAAAACCTGCTCCGGCGCTGTTCCAGGTTATAGCATCTGAAAAAAGCTCATTCATACCCCGGAATGCAAAACTCAGACTGAAACGGCATTTATATGGTGGCAGGCAGGAAACTGAAAGCGGATGTCAGACACCGTAACTGTATTTAAAGCTTTTAATAAGTCACGCTGTTTACCATCTCAACTGAGAGAAAATCTCAAATTCTACCATAATTTACTGTCAACCACAATTAGCTGTTTGTCTGACAGAGACAGTCAAAGAGTTTTCATCAGACATAAAAAGCTGCAGCATAAATCAGAACAGGCAGTATTTGACATAACTTGTTTTATGGGACTTCAAAAGATACTGTGGTGTGATAGATATGATGTTTTATGTATTTTATCTATCCGAGTGACCATAAATATTTCTAAATAACTGACACTGTGTTCATTTTGACTGATTTCATGATATTACATGTTGTTGCGTCCCAGTGTTGTTTCAATCTTTAAAAGACAGCTCTCTCTTTCAGTATTCTCTATGCAGACATTGTTGGCTTCACCCGTTTGGCCAGTGACTGTTCTCCCAAGGAGCTTGTGATCATGCTCAATGAACTTTTTGGGAAGTTTGACCAAATTGCCAAGGTGAGTTACTCCTCATAATTAAACATCCAATAATTCTGAGATACTATACTGAGATGAGCCAGTCTGACTCTTAAAGCCTGCATCCACTATAATCTAATAATCAGAATGGTCAGGTTTGTGACCATTATTTGCATGGAAAATCTGCATCTGGCAGTCCAGCAAAGAATCAAGGCCTGGTATCATTGACCTAAAAAGGATTCCTGTTATTGTTGTGTTATATTAGTCTTGTTAGAAACATTTAAGATGCCTTTTGAGGCTTTATTTTACAATAGTTTTATAAAGTAACATTCGGTTTGGATCCCTGTCGACCCTCACAGGAAAACGAGTGCATGAGAATCAAGATCTTGGGCGACTGCTACTATTGTGTGTCTGGGCTGCCCGTGTCGCTGCCCAAGCATGCCAAGAACTGTGTCAAAATGGGTCTGGACATGTGTGAAGCCATCAAGTGAGTTATAGCAACCGTAACCTTTGGGTAATTACAACATAGTCACATATTTGTGGAACCAAACAAAAAGGAAGTGCAGTATATTGTTAAATGTAATTTAAGTTATTCTCAGACACTTACATTTCGGCTTAAACAAAAGGATGTAACCCGAACCAATCATTTAAAAATCAGTCACATATTTTTATATACAATGGGCTGTTTTCAGCACATATTAACACACGTATACAGTGAGCAAGGCTTATACAAAGATATCCTGGTATTCTTTATTTGGCTTCACAAAATGATTTGTTGTTATTGGGAAACTTTTTCAGGCAGGTGCGGGATGCCACAGGAGTAGATATTAACATGAGAGTGGGCGTTCACTCAGGCAACGTGCTCTGTGGCGTGATCGGCCTTCGAAAATGGCAGTTCGACGTGTGGTCACATGATGTGACGTTGGCCAATCATATGGAGTCAGGGGGTCTCCCGGGGTAAGCATTTTTACCTTTGAATTAATATTCATATGCCTTACTCTTGTTTAGATCTTATATTGCCTTACACAAATGAAGGTTCATGCCTCCTTTTGAAAGCTTCTTGATAGGGCAGCGATGTGGTTATTCTATATTAGTCTGGTCTTATTGCTGTAGATTAAGTTGACAAAAGAACATGCTCTCAGAACAGATCAGCAACACCACAAACCATCGCCTCCCAAAGGCCCAGCAAGCTGTGTTTAATTCCGCATTTTATGAGGAAGGGATTCATTTCATGGTTGTATTATACTGCGGACTGAACAACTGAGGGATTTGGCTTATTGAATAACTAAGGTGATTTTTTAAATATCTATTACATGTAAAATGTTGTTGTTTGTTTCCCAGCCGTGTCCATATCACAGAGGCAACTCTTAAGCATCTCAACAAGGCTTATGAAGTGGAGGAGGGCGATGGCCATCTCAGGGACCCATACCTAAGAGAGCTCAATGTCAGGACGTACCTGGTCGTCGATCCGCGGGTGTGGTCACATACATTTTTTGAAAAATAATCCTTTCATTAAGTATTTGGACTACCTCAGATCTCAGCCAGCATTTGTTTAATTCTTTAACTGTGTATAGGGAATGTAAAATCAGTTTTTTACATCTTTTTAAATCTCTAGTCCAAGGACCCATCACTTAACACCCGAAATACATCTAAACCTCGAGTGAATGATGGTTTGAAAATGAGGGCATCTGTGCGAATGACCCGCTACCTTGAATCCTGGGGGGCGGTCAAGCCCTTTGCCCATCTTCAGAGCCGCGAAGGCTTCACCCCAGACCCCATAGTTAATAATGGCAAGTCGCGTTTCAAGGTAAGCTGTTTTGTTTTGCTGATATGATTAGCTGTCATTAAGATACCAAAGATAAAAAGGAAATGGGAGCTTATTCTTTCTCCCACTGGTTAATGTCGGCACTTTGGTGAAAAGCATTTAGCTTGATCATTTCTGTGAGTTGTGATTATCAGAAGCTGTTCCAGCACAGCATGCGGGATAAGTCTAAAGCCATCTCTTCATGTTGTTGTTGTGACATACAGGTCTTTTGGTAGATGTGTTAGCATGCACTGGGAACCACTATAAGTGGCTCGATGTAGCAGCTTTATCCACATTTTGAAAAAAACACTTCTAAGCATGCAACTTTAGGTAACTGGAAAAAAATCTTACTGATTAGGGAAGAAAAAGAAGTGTCCATAGTGAGAGATTAAAGTATTTCCTGCTCACAATGTTTAAAAAATGTCTGTTTTATTGAATGTCATGCATTTTTATATAGTGGATTTTGTCCCAATTATTTCCAGGACATTCCTTTGCGATCACCTCCAGGCAACAAAATCACTGATAGGTAAGACAAGTCTGTGCAACTAAACGAACCAGTGTAATGAATTATTGTGTTAATGTAATATAATCCTATACTCTCTATGCATTTAAGTGCCGCCAATTCACTGAATGACAGAATAAAAATCCTCTTACTCCATAGCATTTCGATGATCATTTGTTCAGAATTTGACCATTAGACAGCAGCATTCCCTGCCAGGATTTTCCCATCTGTTCATAGGATCTGTGCTGATCATCTTATCATAGTATTTAATGAATTATATTGCATAATTTTGCTAATCTGGTTTTATGTTAAAGCTTTTCACTGTGTTATAGTCAAAACATTAATGTAGACTATCAGCTCAGGGATAGTAATGAGGACTAATGAGGGCTCTCAATTGAAATCTGTCATGTGAGGCAGCTCTGCAGTTTCAAGCTTGTTGTAAGTTCACCTACATGTGCATACAGGCAATAGTAACAAATAAAATATGTATAAATACAAAAGATTCATGCCCAGATTAAGAGTCTGGGCATGAGTATTGCTCACTGTCCAAAAGTTAGTACGTCACTGAAGCCTATGATTAAGATTTAGATTTAGAACCGAATACATCAGGAGGAAAATGCACAATTTTTAAGATGCATTTCACTTTTTCTGTGACTCTGTGGACTCTGTGGAATTGTTACATTGAAAGGGAATCATTTTACACTCTACAGTTAATTAAGATATAGTATAAAGTCTTCAGTAACGTTACTGCTAAATAATGTCCAAACTGTCCGATATTTTTCTGCTGCTGTGTGATTTGAGTTGCTAACACCGCTAACAGATTAACCATACTTCTCCATCCATCCACACAAGCTCATTTCAAACACATCTGGTCCTCCTGGCTTGCTTTGTGCAGATCCATTTGGTCTACAGTTCAGTTGCTCATATTGTATTTGACTTAGCTACAAATTAGAATTGTGATACTGTGACAACTGGAATTCAATGTGTTGCTGTGTGACCAGAATCCTAGTGTTAGCGTTCATAGGTCTGATACAGGTGATGTACAATATCTTGCTTAAATGGAAAGCTAAACAGAGCATCTAACACGTTCTATCCTGTGAGTCTGTACTGTCTACAACATAAACTTGTGGAACTAACTGATAACGTTATAAAGAGACGGTGTTGATCCCATGCTCAGCCCCAGCCCAGTTTAACCCTCAAAGTACATACTGATTCATTCTAGACAAGTTGATACATGTGAGATCTGCTTTTCAACTCAAGCTTTGTTGCTCGCTGTCTTTTGTCTGCGTGATACACATAATGTCTGGTTGGCTGGCTTTACTCCATGGATTACAGTGATCTACAGGCAGCATGTTAAAGGTCTTAATCTCTTTTGTGTATGTTCTGAAATAGCTATAGTTCTTGGTTTATATGTTTATTTGTCCTTTTTTATGCATGTTTTATTTTTTCATCATCACTGTTCTATTTCTTTTTTGATAATCGATATAGAAAGTTAGCTATAGTTGTAGTTGCCAGTGCAGTCTTATTTGGTTCAGCTGTTCTGGCTTAAATAATGTGTTTCTTATTTTCTATGCTTGTCTGGAACTTGGAGCTAAGAAACTAGTGAACATTTACAGTCTTGTTGCAGACTTGTTAGAAGGACTCGAGTGATGTGATTGGATGTGACAGGCTCAGAAACCGTTCATTCCATTGATGTATTTACAATCTGTATCCACAACATCTGGTAATCAGGGGTCTTATTTGATGCTGGACTGACAATGAAATGACTAGGACTTACACAATATTGATGGCATTGCATAACAGAATGTTTCTCCCTGATTAATATTAACATTTGTGATTGCTCTGCTGCCTCAGAACCAGAAATGTCCAGCTTCCTATTTTCTGACGGTTACAAATGAATTCCTGGTGTCTTTTGGCTCTCCTCCACTCACTTGTGATGAACTTGTGTATGTGTCTTACCATTGAACCCTGGCAGCTTTGATGAGTCTCTCGAAGAGCCATTCTCCTTGCCCAACCCTTCATTCAGCACATACAAGTGAGTGGGGCCTCCGTTGCCCACATGGTCCTCATCCCTGCCAGTGCAGTAGTTCTCAGCCCTTTCCTTCATCGTTTCAGTTTAACAAGTAGAGGTTTCATGTTTCTTCACCTAAATTCTTTAACCTCTCTACAGCTTCCCACATTTCTGTGCAGTGATTCTCAGAGTTGGAACTAACCTGTGCAGTGGTGAAATACTGTTGTCCTCAGTATTTCTAACTGCCACCTCTTTGTAAGAGGCCAGCACGTGATCTTCAGATTGCTGTTGTAACCTCTCTTCAGGTGACTGGCATATTCCCTCTAACACTGATCACTGACTGGGGCTTGTGTGTCTGTCTGGGTCTGCAAATCTGTGCGAATGTTTCCTTCCTGACTGAGCAGGGGGTTTCCATGCAAAAGCACGGCAGAAGCATGGGAGAATCACTTCCACTGTGTTCCACCGGGAACGTCTAACACATCTCATTCCGTGTCCAGCACACTCCGTTTACATCACTTTCCTAAAGGCACAAACCATGTTTCCCTTTTCTCTTTAGTGCTCAGGTTGGCAGTTCCCAAGCTGCCTGCAAGCACAGCTACATGGACTGAGTAACCCACACGGCCTGATCTGGTCTTCCTGCATCTGTTCCAATCAGGCTGTGTGTTTCAGAGTCTGCCTGGCTGCGTCTTCCTAATTGTCTCTATGCTCTCTGGTGCAGGATCAAATCCCAGAAGAGTAAGTTTGATGAGGAGCTGCACAATGAGATGACAACTACCATAGATGAACTCAGCAGCAAGTAAGCCCATTTGACAAGCCACATAATATCTTACGAAACCTGTTTATATACGATGAGGATTTGATAAAGTAATTACACTGAAATGACAAGACCCTTTGTGCTTTGTTTAGCGCTTCACGCTTTGAGATACAACCATATCATTGTTTAAACCGCTAAAATATTCCAGAGAATCCTTCATATGTGGGCACGGCTTTTAGGCTACTTGTTTTCTAAAAGTCTCTTTGGAAAATGCCAAATCTGTGCATACCTTTGGTTAATAATGAGATGTCTCAACAGAAATGCAAAAGAAAGAATAAGTGAGTTTGTGACATAACATTTAAAATGATAAGATTATTTTAAAAATGAAAAAATATATAGTTCTCCTCAAATGTTAATATCCTCTGTGTGGTTTATTCTTTCAATGATCTGAAGGATCAAGCATCCTTTTCCTCAAGCTTCTCCGGGAACCAGCAGCCCAGAATTTAGATTTGATTATTGGTTGGATCAGGCCCCACATTAATGACCCGTGTTGGGCCTGGAGAGATCATTTTACGTCACAGGTTTTCTGATATTTGGTCTGTGTTGAGCTTTGCTGTCAGAGAGCGGATTCATTTGGACTGGAGATAAATTCCCTTACTACATGTTTGATTTACTGGCAGCTTACAGATTGGATAATTTAGTTGTTCAGACTATTTTGGATACGTTATCATTTATGTAAACCAGTTGAAACCAATCACTAACATGACACTGACATCATTAGACAAAAAAGAACTCGCAAATATTTTAAACTTTTGCATTTCATTAAAAAGTGAGAAATTGATGAACTCTCAGTTCAGATTTCACCTAGGGAGCGTCAGTTTATCTGTATGATATATAGAAAAAAATAAGAATTTGTTATCTTATTTCTTCTATCTTTTTGACAGTTTAAATAATCTTTGAAATGGTCGCCTCGATCTGTCTTTTGGATTATGCACATCCCCTTAAATCCGTCCTAAATCCAGGGCTGTGGATGAAATGTATATTATTCTTACTGCTGTGTGATGACTTCAGCTTTTTGATAAGAACACATTGAAAAGATCCATGCAATTTTTGATGGCTATTCATCACGAACAGCATGATTACTGATTTCTTTTCTTAGAACTCTGGGTCACTCTATCACATTTGTAGATGATAATGTCGTATGAATCTCCCATGATGAGAGCGAAAATTGTCTCCATGTGAACATCAGAGCGAAAGACAGATAAAGGGCCCAACCTTAAATAGATGAAAATAAGAAGCGATTGGAGGAGGTGTATATTGAATGGAACTTTGTGCAGAAAGTAGTGCCAAAATTGCACAATGTAACATATTCAGCATAAGAGTGGCCTTGGAGGCAGATGCAGAGCGAATGAAGAACTAAAGAAGATGAATAAAAAAATCTGTTTTCAGTCACTGGCTTTGAGATGGCTGAAAAGTTGAAACTGTGGAATTAAATAACACTCCTGTTTCCTTATTAAAGTACATTTTGATTACTTAGCGTGTTTGCCAACTTGTTTGTTGATTCATCATGACATTGCAACCTCAGGTCACTGACACTTTGCTAATTTTGTGATTGAACAAAGACAGGCCAACAAACGGCTGTGCTTTAGCCTTCTTTTAAAAGTCCCTGCTATTGTGTCAAGCGACTGCGTGAGGAGTCAGCTCACTGTAGACTAGCTGCTTATGTCTGGTGCGATTCAGTTGGCCTTTAAATCTAGCTCAGTGCAGATGTTAAGCACGCGGCAGCTCAAGTGTAAAAGTACCAGCGATTATTGATTCAGTCTTTCTTTGTTCTCTCTTTCTGACTTCATCTTTTTCTTTTTCCTACACCCTTATGTCTTCCCTCTTCCTACTCAGGCAATGGTCCAAGTCTGAGGAGAGTGGCAGTTTAACTCTGTGGTTTCCAAAGAAAGACCTGGAAAAACAGGTGGGTTTGACATTGGGAGGGCATTGAAATGAGTAATATTTCTATATTTTCGTTGTTGAGAAATAGTTTTTTGTTTTTACTGATACTGACGCTGATGATGAGTTTAAGGTGTGTCCCGTTCTTTCCTCTTGCCAGTACCGAGCTTTGGATTTGCCGATGTTCAAGCACTATGTGGGTTGTGCAACGTTCATCTTCTTTTGTATCTTTGTGGTTCAAATGCTTGTCACAAAGGAGTGAGTACCAGCTAAACTTACCTTTCTTCTTCTTTTCTGTGAAGTTGAGATTTGGGACGAAAGAAAGCCGGCAGGAGGCTGACTCTGACATGCTATGGTTTTGTCTGTAAGCCGACAGATATTGGGGACGTCTTTTGGAGTGCTGGTTTGTTTGCTGCTTCTGACCCTGGCCATCTGTTTCACAGGTCATTTGCAGGTCAGTATGTTAAGTCTTACATTTTCCTTCAACCTTTGTCCTTTTAGTTCAGGTTTTTTTGTGGGACTGCAATTAGCCATGATTTTACTGTGGCCTCTATAGCTGTGATGGCTGGTGTAGAAGGGTTGTTATTCTTTCTGCAAACATGCTTTAAGGTCTTGTATAATTATAGCCCGGCCCTGTCCTGCATTACATGTGTGTGTGTGTGACTCAAGTGTTCTAGTCTTAAGTGGTATTCAAATGAATTGAATTTCCTAGTGCATTAGAGGGAAAATGGAGAGTGAATTTCTTTGTACGCTTTTTTGTGTGAAGGACAAACAAGAGAATGTTGTAATGACGCAGATCCTTATAAGAAAAATCGTTTTATGGGCCTTCATAACTGTCATTATGCATTCTCCCCTGTGTCTGGTCTGTAATGTTCTAGAAGTTATGCATAAAGAAGGTTTAATGGATTTTAATGTCTGGATGGATACACACTTCATTGATCCAACAACAATGTAGTTGATTACCATTGCAAAGGATAAAAATAATATGTACAACATGACAACATTAGAAACATGAGCAGTAAAAGAAATAAAAGAGAAACAGAATTCTAGAAAATAACTATCTATTGCTTGGGCTAAAAAATGTTAAGATGTTAATGGTAGTTGTATCTAAAGATTGGTGATGAAAAGGTTTGTGTGTCTGTTAGACAAATGTGGGCTTTTATAAGATGAAATGGAAACAGGTAGAAATTACTTCCTTAAGTGGTTTTGTAGACAAAGGAGCCTAATTATTCTCTTAATTATTCAGAGCATTTAGGTGGCCTTTGGTCTACCACTAATTTAAACATCACCTAATCTATAAAAACAATAGAAAAGGTGTGGGTGCTTATGTAAATAACATAATTTTGCCTTAGTTATTGATTAAACAAACAACAACAACAGCTAAAGAAGCTCGTTGAAAGCTATGTATTTAAGCTAAATTTGTCTGGTTATACTGACCAAGGGTTTAGCTGCATCTTTTAAGCAATTGCTTTGTCATTCATGTGGCTGACACTAAAATTAATGACTGTGCTGTGTTTAATTATTGTCAGGCTCAACAGGTTCAACGGGGAGGGGGGTCAGAATTTCTCTGCGCATGTGTCACATGAGCCGAACAATGCAGCCCCCATCTGTCTGCTCATTTGTTGTTGATTTTGAAAAAGGATAAATACATGTCACGGGGTCTGACCTGCTCAGATGGCTGTAAATAAATATTATGGAACATAACCTTGGTTGTAATTGCCGCTGGATTATCATAAAGCACTGCTTGCCTGAAAGGGACTCCATAGGTCAAAAGCGCCACCCAGACATATGATGATGAGCAAGTGCTTGGTAAATAAAGCCAAGGGGGGGGGGCATGTGGGTGGTGTGTACTTAGTCTTAAGTGTTTCACTCTACCAGAATTAGGCTATTTGAGAATGGAAACATTTCCCCGGAAACTGTTCAGTGTTCCAGCTGCTACAGCCACTGTGCCTCACACTCACATGTCAAAGGGCATCTGACATTCAGTCCTTAACAGGCAGTTTTTACCTCTCAGACAGATTGCACTGGAGAGAGTCAGCTGTGAGTCACTCACACATGATGTCTGGAGATGGCTGACTACACAAAAGTCACATGCTCTTTACTCATGTTCTAATCTGTATTTTCTCTCCTTTCGCACCAAATTTTCACCATCCTCTACAGCGCCTTTTTCCAGAGAAGCTCTCAAGGTGTCAGTGGCTGCCAGCTGTTTCGGAGGCGGTGGTTAAACGGCCATGTGTGCGCCTCCCTCTGGCTGCCATCACTACTACGGTCATCATTATCATGGCGGTGTTTAACCTGGTAAGACTATTCTCACAATTTGAGAGCAAAGACCAGGCCGCTGTGCGCTCCGCTATTTCTGGCAGAGCCACGCTTCACAGATGCCAAGTCAGACTTCAAAGCATGTTTTTCCACGTGTTGCTTGTCAGTCAAGTTGCTTTTCAACACTTCACAGTGCTTCGTCCCGACATATGAGAAGGAGGATGTGAACGACCTCTTCTATCTCCCTGTGAGTGATGAATCTGCTAACTGTAGATGATGATGAATGTTGGTATTTTGCTTAGTCGGTATTTAACTTTGATAAGCACCTTGTTACATGAACTAGAGAGGCACCACAATTATTATGTCCAAAAGCCCTCCCCATCCACTCAAGACCCTCAGCTACATTTGGTTAGCGCTCAACTTTTAAATATGTAAGGTTCTAAGAATCAGATGATACATTCTAGTGATTCCATTTTTTTTAAATTAATGTCCATATTAAATGTGAATACATTATTGAAGTCTGTGACTGTGTATGTAGGTTTTTAAAAATTAAGCTGTAACTTTTTGTTTCGTGTACTATTTATACCGACTTTGTCAAAGGTCTAACTCCTTTTCTGTGCCTTCCCCGTGCTTCAGTACTCTGTATACTGCTGTATCCTGTCACTCGTCGCGTGTGGAGTCTTTCTGCGGGTGAGCTTCGAGTTAAAAGTACTCTTCCTCACCGTGGCCTCCACAGCATACTATGTAATCATCCTCAGCACCAAGAGGGACCTCTTTGTGACCTACGCAAATTCGTTTGGTGCTCAGCTCAACAGCAGCTGCAACTACAGCAGGTGGGACAGAACGCTGAAAGCATATCTTGTCGGTGACACGTGTGCGTCGAGTGTATCATTTCCTCTTTATGAGGTTACTCGCTCTGAGCTGGCTTTTTCTTCACAAAGATTGAATGAGATGGTAAAGGGGAAAGAAGCATATCAGTGTTTCAGGATGATATCTTATCAGGGGTTCAGCACAATTAAGCAAGTAAACGGTCCAGCTCTGGTGGTTTAAGTCACTTTGTTATAAGAATTGTTCATTTCTGGTTATACGTAGTGATCATGTGCTATATATGCGATTCACTGCAAGGACAATGATGAAAAATGTCTTTGCTTGTTCTACAGTGGGGAAGATGAATCAATGAGAATCTTGAACTGTATAGGGCTGGTGAAACACCCTCAGATCATGAGCTGCATATACATCACGCTTTTCCTGGTTACCATGCTCATCATCTCACAGCAGGTACTGCCAGTTTTTGCACATTTCCTCATTTCCTTTCTGCTAACTTCTTTTTTTACTCAAACGGAGGCAAAAGGAACATGTTTACATTCATTATATTATCAGTTTATTTGGCACCCTTTTCTAACTCCGCTCTGCGCCTGCTGTTTAGAACGAGTACTGCTTTCGCCAGGACTTTTTACTGAAGTACAAGAACCACACAGAGCAGGATGAGATCGAGACGAGGGAGAACCTCAACCGCCTGCTCCTGGAAAACGTGCTGCCAGCCCACGTCGCTGCACTGTTTGTCGGGGAAAACAAGAAGAATGAGGTGAGATTTCCACAGGATTTTGGTTGAATCTCTCAGGCTAACAGGCCGTCTGGTTGCTGGCTGCTGAATCATCACAGATGATGAGATACAGACAAGGAGAATGAAGAAAAGAGCGGGAGCGCCAGTTTGATTTGATAAGGTCTTAAGTAACTATCATCATAGAATTAGCAGATTAACTGCATTAAACAAGTTTGGTATTTTTTACATTAATAAAAAAAGCCACATGTTTTTCTCATAGTTGAATATTTTGGGCCTTTCAATATGTTGTTCTTAAATGTTGCCTTCAGCTTTAAAACATATCGAATTTATTCTAATGTCAGCAGTATCTGCAGTAAAAGATGATCCTGTACCCACTCAGGGAGTGAACCTGCGGGCTTTATGGGCCCTTACCAACAATAATGATATTGTGATACTGAAAAATGACATGGGTATCTCATACTGGGCACTTTCTAAACATCGTTGTTGGTCAAAAGTAGCTCAAAATACATTAATGTTGTTTTTTTAAAGAAATGATTGATTGGCAGATGCAATTACCTAAATCCCTCTTTTTATTTTCCGCAACAGGACCTCTACTACAAGTCCTATGACTGTGTGTGTGTGATGTTTGCCTCGGTGCCGGATTTCAAAGAATTTTACACTGAGTGCGATATTAACAAGGAGGGCCTGGAATGCTTGAGGCTCCTCAATGAGATCATCGCTGACTTTGATGAGGTCAGGAAACAGAGATTGAACGGAATTCATACTTACCTCTTAACAATAGGAATTGTTGATGTCCACAGAGACAGTTGTTTGGTTGTCAACTGCAGGAATAGGCAATGTAACTGATGAACGGTTGCCTGCACACGTTACTCATTTTGTTTTCGTCTAACGTTTGCAGCTGCTGTCCAAGCCAAAGTTCAGTGGTGTGGAGAAGATCAAGACAATTGGCAGCACTTACATGGCCGCCGCAGGGCTTAGTGGGACGCCTGGTCAGGAGAACAATCAGGTGGGTTGGTCAGAGCTTCCGAGCAGGTCAAGTTAAGGTCAGAACTGTTTAAAACATCCTCTATCCACGCTGGATAAAAAAAAAAAAAAGGAATAAGAAAAAAGCACTGTTGACTCTGATTTGACTCTGTGGTCTTTCAGGATAGTGAAAGGCAACAGGCCCAGATAGGGATCATGGTGGAGTTTGCCATTGCTATGATGGGCAAGTTGGATGGCATCAACAGACACTCTTTCAACAGCTTCAGGCTCCGTGTGGGTGAGTGAGCCCTGCAGCTTGGCAGGCTGAACGTCAACCTTTCATCGACTGCACTGTGTTCCATCTCTGTTAACACTGGCACAATAACCCCACAGGTTTCCTTGGTTACCCTGCACATGATTGTCTACTAAGCGACTTCCAAGCAGTAGCATTCACTGCCATTCAATATCGTGTGGTTGCAGACTCTTACGTGTAATAAAGCTAAACCAACCCTTTGAATCTTTAAAGGCAGACAAGTATACACAATTATAGTTGATTATTGGACATCAAAGTGTCCTTATTAAATGAAGAATCAACGCTATAGCCTCTTTTAAACTGGGAGAAGCATCACTTTTCCCATGGGCTGGACAGCAAACAACATGGTCTCCAGTAACAAAGACAGGACAACACTAAAAGGAGTTTCACAGAAAGATGTTCTGTATCACCTTTAAGCATCTACACAGCTATAGCATAAACAGGAAGTGTAATTGTTTCTTTTGAATGAAAAGAAAAACATTTTTTTTTTCTCAGACTATTGCAAGTAGATGTGATGACATTGAACATTGATATTTATATGCTAAGCACATCTTTCACTGAGTTCTTTTCAGTTTTGTATACGTCTCACATTACCATTAAAAGTAAGTTAAAGTAGAGAGTTTTTTTCAAATGTTTTTCCACAGGTATTAATCATGGCCCAGTGATAGCTGGAGTGATTGGGGCGAGGAAACCTCAGTATGACATTTGGGGCAATACAGTCAATGTCGCCAGTCGAATGGAAAGCACAGGGGAACTGGGAAAAATCCAGGTAAATTCCACAATACCTTTTTGCCTTTGATTTAATTAACTTTTGTCTTGAATTTCTTCCTATTTTTAAAACTTAGAATCTATTTTCTTCGGAAAAGAAACGCATTCATATCCCATCCAAAGGCAACATTTCTGCTTTCCAGGCATGCGTAAAATGCTTTTTGCTGAAAAGAAAGATCACTGCATTTGATGTTTAAATTGCACGTGTCCATTGGCTCCACTCCCAGGTAACGGAGGAAACGTCTACCGTCCTGAGGAATCTGGGCTACTCATGCGAGTGTCGAGGTCTCATTGATGTCAAGGGGAAGGGGGAGCTGAAAACATTCTTTGTGTGTACCGACATGAGCAAGCAGCAAGGTATGGGGCTGAGCTGAAGTCAGGCTCCCACAGCCTGCTGAAACGACAGACTCATGTGCACACGTCAAACGTTTACAGACTCCTGCACATCTCACGCATGACTGTAATACAACTGTGTTCCTGTAATGGGCTCGAAAGAAAAAGGATTTAGTGGAACTGTACCTTCGCCGTGGTGGATATACTCCTGGATCTTCTGAAGTCGGTTTAGGAGACGACTGAGATTGTCGGAGTGTACAGTCGCCATGTTTTGCTATTCACAAACATCAGTGTCCAGTGCTTTGTTACTTTTGTACTTTTTTCCGTCTCTAACTTAATGTAATAGAAAATCTGTGTGTTGTATTAATGCCAAATACAGTTACTTTTTAAATACCTCTTTAGTCCTTATAAAAACAAAAATAATAGATTCTATTTGGATCATGATTTGAGACCATCTCATTTTCCTGTTGGAAAAGTGATGGGCATTCAACTCTGTTTCTCTATAATGTGCAAATGCTAGTTTTTTGGGTCAATTAGACTGAGCCGTTCCAATGTCTTTTGAGAAGAAACACATTCACTTAAGCTCCTCTCACAAAGCAGAAGGAGTTTTTCTGACAAAGCTTCAGGTCCTAAGACTTACGAGCAACTCTGTTTTTAAACCTCCATCATTTGGCCGTACCTTTTTAATGATTCCATATGACCAAATACAGTCACATAAAGTCCCACACAATTCAGTTTTAAGGTTATATGGCTCAAATAAAACCTCCGATTTGACGTTACATTTGTTTACGAAAACTTAGCTACAATGCAGAAGCACTCTCTTTTCTGAATGATGGCATTTCTCAGACTGTGGAGGCTTGAGATGCAGTCCATGGGTTAGATTTCTCCCAGCTTTGCAGGCAGACGTTGGGATGAACTTCCTGGGATGTCCACTCTTCAGAAAAATGAAAAAAGTCAGCACCGTTTTCTCAGCGTACCATGGGGAACTCCAGATTGTTTGGCCTTATGAGCCTTTTGAGTCATTCCTGATATCTTTGATCTTGGCGCCACGCGCAGCTGAATGCTTAAGAGCCTTTAACAGTGTATAGACTAAGTATGTTTAATTCACTTCATAATCACTTGAAAGAGTGGACTTTTCCCTCATTGCTTCTGCATTTAAGTGTAGATTTTTGTATTGTAAAGATGTTCACTGGAAGTTGTATTTACCTCATTTTAAGAGGTATGGACCAATTTCTTTTAATGTGCTGAAATTTAAAATATCACAGTTCACACTGCATCTTCAAGAGAGGCAGAGCTGTCTGTGTGCTGCGTTTTCCATCTGTTTCACCTGCTCATAAAAAAAGTTAAAAAAAAAAAAAATACTGCTGTTTAGCCGCCTATTTCCATTTGTGCTGCAATGACCGAAACCTATGACGCATGTCCTCAGTCGGTGTGATCTAACAACCTGTCTGCTGTGAAAGTGTTTTTTTTCTAGACCGTGGCTCAGATTCATTCTTGAGCCTACCAGGAACTCTCTTTGTGCCTCTGACAGTCAGTTTATCTCATGGCCTTGCGAGCTGAGACCAACATCTTGTCTGTAATTGTGGTTACATAATTATAACGTATTGGCCTTCCTGTGAAAAAATGTGACATTGAGTTTTGTACAGTTACCAAATGTAATAAATGTTTTCCTAAGTCTACAGTTCGTCATTCATGGATGCACGAGCGGCAAAGTTTACGTTAAAAAAAAGGTTTATTGACCGAAATGCATACAAATGTCACACAAAAAGCACCTTTTGTACAAAAATTTAACTTATTTAATTGAAGAAGAGGTTGGAGCGTTATTTCACAGCAACGGCTGGAATCGCATCGGGACCTGTGCACGAGGTCTCCATTGGTTCGCTGGTTTCCTCGGCTGAAAACAAGGAAAAGCACAGAGGACGTTTTATGTTTTCGTGACATTAAATTCAGCCTTCCCAGCTGTTCTTTGCAGAGCCGTGTCTTACCTGTGGTGAGGTCCAGTAGGGGCTCAGGCGGTGCAGCGATGCCCATGGCCCTCCTGATGCCGTACACACTGCTCACCTCACATGGAGCCACTTGACCAGTTAGCTCAGCCAGGTTCCCCGTCACCTTCTCGGCTGTGGAGGTAGGAAAAAGTAAATAACCGAAACAGCTACAGTTTCAAACCTGTATATTTTTGCAAATCAGTTAAATCATAAATAATTACAGACCGATGGCCTTTTACTGATTTGAACAAACAATTCAACTGATGGTCAAAGGTGTAGCTTTTCTTTTGTGAAGATATTGTGTGATTAAGACATTCAATAAAGAAAAAAAAAGAAGGGGAAAAGACAAACACCTGTGTAGGATGACAACTGAAGAGATAAGTAAAGCATTGTCGGAGGTCTGCAGCTGGCGGTGAGGATTGAGGAGGGGAACAAAGCGGCTCTTACCCAGCTCCAGCTCCTTGGCAGTCGGGGCCAGCAAGCAGATCATGTTAGGCGGCTGCTTGGCACTGAGACGCTCCTTCTGTGCTTCCTGTAAGTCACGCAGGAGCTTTGTAGTCTCGTCCAATTTCTGCTGGAAGTGTAGGGCCTCTGTAATAGATAGGTGAGGAACAGCACACACACTGTTACCGCTTCCTCTGGGCTGCTCCAGTTACCTTTAGGTAACCAACATTATAAAAAAAACAGTACACCCATTCTTCACTTAGTCAGGATAAGACCTAAGCTAATGTACAGCGGGACAAGAAAATGTAAAGTGGACAAGAACTGCATTATCTGCAAAGGAATATATAGGAGTAATTATTTTGTGTTTGCCTAAAACTATTAGTATTCTTTTTTTCAAACCCTGAGATGGATTAATATGAGATTAGCTGCAGCTCGAAACGGCACAATAGTCAGAGCTCTTACCCCCAGAGAGCTCCTCAGCCATCTGCAGGCTTGCAGCAGAGCGCAGGAAGTCCAGCCTGTTGGACCAGTCGGGCTCAGCTACCTGCCAGAGGCCGAGTGGAAACCACATGTTGGGTGGGATTAGAAAAGGCATTCCAGGTTGACACTGACATGCGTCAATCCAACATCCATGCCTGTTTGAAGCCCTCCTTGTCACGCTGTTCCTTTGCGCCGATGAAAAAAAAAAAACTAACTAAAACATCATCACCAACTAGAGCAACTGATCAGGGGGATGAGTGTAAACTGGAGAGCCGCCAACAACAGCAAGCAGCTAGCACAGAGGGTTTGTGTGTGTGGCGGTGGGGTCAGTGGCGGGGTTTCCTCTGCTGCTGCGAGGAGCCGCTCAGCTGTGCAGCCAGCAGACGCCGAAAGAAAACACGGTCCTCGCCAAACTCCCCAAATGTGGACCTCGAATGAGGAGCGCCGCTGTGTCTTGAAGGGCAATGTTTTTCTTCCATGTGAGCACGGATCACAGTAACGGCAGGCCCCTGCTATGTTGACACAGCTGGCTGATGCAGAAACCATCAGCAGAGGCCATCTAGGAAGCAAATTAAATGAAGGCTCCTCGTATGGGGTGTAATGCAGGGACATGTGATGGGCTTTCCGGCTTTCCGCTGAGCAGCGCAGTGGGAGCTGGTGAGGATGAGTGGCTCCGGTTTTGTGTTACATAGCACGCACTGATTCTTGTCATTCTACACTTGTTGATGTGACCCTTCATTTAGACTGCAAAACGCTGCTTAGGACAGAGTAGGTTTCTCCCTCGGATTTAGCTCCATGGTAGCACACCCCCTTACCTCCACGCCGTCTTTGTCCTCTTGTGTTTTTGCTGGCTCTTCACCCTGCGGCACATGCTGAAACAACAAAACGCGTGCATTTTATTACATTGTCAACAAAGAAAACACGTCTGTCCTTTGCTTCTCCGGCGAGCACAAATCTGGATCTGTGCTTACTTGCTCTGCGGCTCTCAGGGTTCTTGAATGCTCTCCGTTGGTCATGGCATCCAGAAGGTTGTCGGCCAGTTTGTACACATATTCGTCCGATTTGGCCAGGAAATCGGACAAGCTGCCAAACGCACACGCAGCATGTTAAATATGGAACTTTTGACTGAGGAGGTGCTGCCAACTGATTACACACAGACAAGCTAAAAACCATTGAAGGGATGGTAACCGTATGGACTGTAAAGTGGGAAGCCGCAAACACAAAACACCTCATAGGAGGAGACTCGATCTCGCTCTTACAGCCAGGAACAGAACATCTAATGTGGTTATGTCCTAGCGGAGATGGCTACAGCATAAATACACAAGAGTGCATCTGTGACTAACTGGAACTGGAACCTGTCTCGTTGGATTATTTCCATATGTACCGAGTGTCCCGCATAAGAGAGTAAAACAGGATGACGTCTGGGTGAGGCTGCCTCCACAGCTGGTGGATTACCTCTTCCAGACTGAGTGAACTCAGTGAAAAAAAAAGAAGGACAGTTGGAAAGTAATCAGCCAGGAATTCTTCAAATGACGCTGTGCGTAAATCCCACGGGGCTGCAGCGTGTTTGCGGTCCGGCTGGACATACCTGTCTGAGCCCTGCAGACTGGACTCCTCCCCGTAGAAACAGTAGACGAGGTCCGAGTCGTCCTTGCTGATGTTTGCGAAGCTGGAGTCATAGGTGGGTGCGTAGGAGGTGAACGGCCCGTAGTTTAAGTAGGACACTGCAGAGGGAGTTCCATGGGAGGGGGGGGGGGGGTTATTGTTTGCTGTAACAGTCTGATATTAGCAGCTTACAGAGGCTGACAGTACCTGGAGTAATCCTGTTCCTTTTGTCCTCCCTGAAGCCCGGCAGCGTGTTCACGCCGTTCTGCAGCCGAGTGGACATCATGCCCAGCTTCACTGGACAGTAACCAACATCTGTGACGGCACATTTAGGTGAAAGATCTTTCAAGGACTTTAAAAAAACTAAACAGATAGCCCTTTTAAAATGTTCAGTCCAGAGTCCCCTAAACACGTTAGTTCTGTTGAAGCAGCACTTAACTATACGTTAAAGCTGATCTGCCAGAACTTTTGCTCAAAAACAGTTCTCTGCTATCATAAAAGCAGTTGCTTAATTTTGACAGATTTACACTTTAAATCCTGTGAAGCATATGAAGTGAACCGACCTCCAGCTGATGGGTCCGCTGGGTTGAGAATAGCGAGGGTGGTGGAGCCATCGGACTTCCGCCTTACAAAATCCAACTGGGAGACAAAGCGACCATTAACGACGGCTGACAGGAAATAAAAGACACTTGAAAGTGTGAGAGAGTAAGCGTCTCAACCATCATGCATCGGTCAACGTGTGCTGGCCTCTCCCTCAGAACAAACTGTCATACAGGTGGGTCATTTTTTTTTTTTTTTTAAATCTGGATGTTTTCTCAACTGAGGGCCACAGAATTATCGCCGTGCTGTGATTTTAAATGGCAGACACACTAATCATTCCTCCCTGCTTCCTCACTTCGCTCTGCAGCACTCTGTTGGACAGCTTTCCCCCAGACTCTTCGATGACCTTGCGTATTTCTTCCAGCTCTTGCTCGGCTTTCGCTGCTTCGTCCTTGGAGTCTTTGTCCTGTCTGATGAAACACAAATTGAAAAATGGCAAATGAGACACGTCGACTATGAAACAAAAGGTTTTCACTTTATGACATTGAGTGAACAAAGAGAAGGGGGAAAAAAAGACACGTGCGCGACGCCGTGGGGAAGAAATCAGGGCCAGCTTTTCGGAAATTTGACGCCCACACACTAATTCGGCTTCACCTTTCCTTTACATGCTAGCGAACGCTGACGCTGGCAAACGTCAGCGGGTTTTTTTTTTCTGCAACGCTTTTATGATGCTGTCGCATCCCATTAATCCAAAAGTAATTTCACTCAATGGGTTCCTTTACATCAGGAGGAAACGAAGCTGATACAGAAGATGCAAAGCCTCAAAAGTAAACAAGCCCCAGCAGGTTTTTTAAGGCATTCCTCACATTCTCTGCCTCCAGCTCCACAGTGGAAAGCCAACATACACACACACACTCAGACGAAACTCAAACTTTCCTTTGAAAGAGGGGGATTCTTTCTTCCTCAGCTTGGAACAAGCTAGCTTTAGTAAGTTTTCTTTTCCGTGTCTTTTTACATGAGTTCCCGTGAAATCTGACACAGTTTCACCCTTCGTTTCAAACGGAAACATCTGGAACGGGCCAGCTAAAACTTCCAGCGGTTTGGGGTAGTGAACATATGGCCGTGCGTCATTGGCTGAGGCACCTGGGAGTGCTGGGGGTCTGGGAGCGCTCGCTGCCCTCTGCTGTCGAGGATCCCTCCTTGTTCTGGTCCAGGCTGGGGCCTCCTTGTTCCTCACACTTCAGAGGCTGTCTGGCAGAGGGGTCGAGGCCTGACATGAAATCTATGCTCTGCCTCAGGCTTTCCAGCCTTTCCTGTTGGAGAGACAGAACACTTAACCATAAAAAACAAATTGATAGCGGTAGAAATAAAAGGCGATCCTGCATCTGCTGTCTTCCAGAAAAGTGCAATGCCTTTTGCTGCCCTCATCTGTTGAATCACTGCAAAAGCAAGTCTTGTAGCTTAGTTACAGGTCTGAGTGAAGCTAAGAACATTGTTTTTTTTATTTCTGCTAACAGAAAAAAACAAACACATTACGCACTTAAGTTAATATCAGGTTAGGTTTGTGTTTTAAAGGCAAGTTATTTTCTAAAGTAAATCCAGCAGTTTGCCATAAGAAAAAATAAGTTATTTAGGAATAAATAAGTCTTCCAACTAAGCTATATGTGTGCGCAGCAAGGCATTTTCAAGTGATCTCAAACTTGAACATGTTCAAGTCCTTCTCTGTGGCTAAACCTCTGAATAGCCGAACTGAACAGCTGTTTCCACACAAAAACAACATCTGAAAAGAGGCGTATCACAGGATATTATGGCTTGGTTTCAGGGCAATCCCTTGCAGTTTATGTAACTTTGCAAGTGTTACTTCATACCTGGCTCAAGATCTTCATCCCAGAGTGTAACAGCTTCCGAGCCGCTTTGTGGTAGATTGTCTCGGGTTTGTTGTAAATCATAGCATTCTCGCACATAATCTTAAAATCCACCTGCAGCAGAGACACATCCAGTGTCACACACTTATCAACGTCACACAGAATGGATACCAGTGAAATTGTGTCGTCAATGTGAAGACACAAATGCTTGTTTACTGCGCAGGAGAACGAAACCCACAAAGCTTATCCAGATGTGTGTCTGAGCTTACATGTGCATCGATTTACGTACTTTCAGTTCGCTCAGTGACTGGTAGTTGTCTTTCTTCACTTTGTCTTTCATTGTGCTGAAGTCCATAGGGCGCTTGATAATTGAGGAGTAGCCAGGTGCAATGAGGTCAGTGACCGGAAAAGAGAAGAATGCACTGGGGTCTTTCCTGCAGAGGAAACACACTTAAGGGTCAACCACACAAAAAGTACACTAAACCCCACTCAAAAGAAAGCAATAAGTGAAAGAATTTTATGTTGTAAGTACGAAATCCCTTTAAAAAACAGATGGCTACACGAACAGAATAAGTGACTGATACTAAACCTTTGAAGCTGCCTGATGAGCTGGTTCAATGCTTCCTGTAGAGGAGTCTGCTCTTTTTCTGTAAAAGATACAGATAAAAGAATTTAGAATAAAAAGAAACTTCTATGACCGCTGCTAGATGAAACTAACGCCATTGAGACTACCTTCCAGTTTGTCCAGCTCTGAACGGATGGGAGTTCTGCTCTGCTCCCTGTCATCATCTCCCTCTCCATCCTGTCCTTTCTTCTTCTTCGTCATCTAACACCGAAGACAGCACGGGGATAGGATAATAAATACAAGGGATCCACTATAAAGGGTAAATATCCCCTCCTACATCTTCCACAATGAAGGGGAAAATATGTATTTTTTGATCTGACCTTTTTCTTTCCTTTGTCATCCTCTGGCGTGCCCGAGTTCCTGTCTTTATCTTTCTTCTTTTTCTTCTTCTTGTCTTTTGGCTTGTCGGACTCTCCCGGCTGTTCGTCATAAAAAGTGTCTCGACTCGAGCTTCCCGTTGTCACTTCGTTCCCGGACACTTTCAGAACCAGCTTCAGTGGCCTGTCTCCGTATTCTGAGAGCAACACAGCAATTTATCGTTATCTTGGAGGAATTATCGGGACTGGGTGAGTGTGAGTGAAGGTGCTTTCCAACTAACGATGCATTATAATCGTATTGCTTACACAAATTCGTACCGGAATTGCATCGTATTAAGTGACAGAAACATGTATGTGTAGACCAATGCTCACAATAACATATAGAGCTAGCTAGCAAACTAATCGGCTAACGTAGCTAGCTAGCATTGTACGGTTCCCAATCGCGCACTACAGAGTTTGGCTTATGCATGCAAAGGAAAAAGGAAGCAGTAATTGGTTGTGTGTAACCGAACATATTTTCTCAAATAAAATACCTTCATAGCCATGCTTTTCGGACTTGTGCTTTTTGTGCTTCTTGCCCATTGTTTCTGTTTTGGTCAGGCACTGACCGGTAGCGCTATCCGGTCTCTGAAAGCGGAAACCCTCCTGGAGGGGAAAGGGCTCGCAGCGCCCCCTGTCGACATGGCGGGGATAACACACCACACCACCGCCATCCTTCCAGCCAAGAGAGGGCAGAGTAAGCTTTGAATTCAATCTTAATCTTGGCCTTAGTTCAACAGGCCTTCGTGTGGATTGCAAATCTAACTGGCAGTGCGTATGATTATCCCTATTGAGAGCACTATCAGCTGGTGACACAAGCGTTTGAAGTATCCTTTATAACGATTTGTCTCTGTTTATAATTTTGCAAAGACAGGCTGTTACATCAGAACTTGATATATCAGTGAACATACAAGCACGGAAAACTGTCGAAGTTCCATTTTCTGAACACTCCCCAAACGTTTAATATAGATAATCACCGGCACTATCCACATATGGGCTCATGTGGACATTTTCCCATTCAAAGAAAGAGTTGGCTGTGCAAATCCACACAAGGTCCCGTCTGTCTGATGTGGACATCTGCACGTCCGCATGCTCTGGAAACTTTCCAGAGACTCTCAGGGCTGCGATGCAGGTGTGAAATTGGCTTTGGACGGCCTGTTCTTAGACACTCATTGCATGTATTGGCCAATGCAGACTTGCATCTGTGGTCTCTTTTATAGCTATAAATTACAAATGAATTCACCGAATCTTGTCTAAATTAACCAGTCTAATCTCCAAAGGGAAACCGATGACACTTAGTTGGATTGGACTTCGCAGGACTCTATAGAGTCTGCAGCTCGCCTGCCTGCCTTGCGGAGCTGTTATGCTCCAGAAATCGGCACATATTGTGCCGGCCGATGAATGACAGATGTTTTATTCATGGAGGAAAGATAGTGTACATTCTTTGAAGCACATTCCAGGTTTTATGAACAGGGCAGAGGATAGGGGAAGAAGGTTTGAAAAGAATGAGGATTGACTTGAATTCACCATTTCAGCCATTCCTGCCTTCAGATGAAGAGGTGATTCTGATGGTCTGTTGATGTTTCAGCCTGCTATCTGAGCAAGGCTATCCCCAGCAAATTATGTCCTGATCTGTGTTCTGAAACACCAGCACCAGTGTACATTCTTTACATACATCTATGACATCTTGCTGGAGTTCTGGTGGGGTTGGTTTCAGTAACAAAAACTATTTTCTATCTTTGGAATTCCATGGTAAGGTCATGGAAAAGGGGGACAGGGCGTGGAGCGGCACACATTGAGGTCATGGACTTGTGAACTTTACAAGTAACATCAGATCCTGAAAGGCCCAGTTTTACTTTCACGCTCACATTTGAAGTAGTCACCCGAATCGGACCTTTTAGGGTTATTATTTTTCTTTGGCACATTACTAAACATTCAAAGGCCGTGTCTGGTACAGAACGATCCGGGCCAGCTTTCCCACTGCAGCTCCACAGAGGCCGTGGGATCCAACTGTTTCTTCCAGCCGCCGAGCTGCACACGTGCTGGAAGTCCACGGATTAAAAGGAGATCAGTTACACCAAACGGGGTTAACAAATGGCAGATGTTGTGAAATTCATTATCCTCTGTCACAACAGAGCGGCTACGGGGACCCAGAGACCATTTCCACATGAAAGAGGCATCCCTGTAGAACCATAGGGAACCGCTGGCTGCACTGCAGACAGGATGGAACTGGGATGTTTTGGGCTTTGTACATACACACAACAAAACTACCAATAGGCATAACAAAGGCTAGCTTTGAACAGTTTATCTGTCTCACACACGGGCTGACTGAGGCAGCATTAGAGATAAAACGTGGTGTTTGGACTTAGCCGGGGGGGAATTCTGAAGTTTTGTTGTAAAGTTTCGAAACAATGCGGCCTGGGTTGTAAAATGTGCCGTCAGGCATCATGGTCATGTCCCTTAACTGAAGTTTATTAAGACTAAACATTGCACCAATTAAACGAAACACCTGATTTTCTGTGCGCTCTGTAGTTTTTTTACATTTTTGCAGCCCCTTAATCTTGATTTTTTTCTAAATCGGGAATGCATTCAAAGTTTAAAGCTACTCTGCTGGATAATTACGTCCAACTACGAGGCTGTGACAAATGGAAATTAATAACTTCTGTCCTTGTGGATTGATGAGAAAATGTGCCGTGAAGCATGGTCAAAGAAGAAGATTCTCTTCACTTGAAGTTGTCAGAGCGCTGCTCAGATGTGACAGATGAAATGTTTGGGGTCATTACAACTGTCAGCGCGGAACGGGTTTGAAGATGTAACCAGCCGTCACAAGTAAGTCAGACAGAAACATCAAAGTGGAGAAGCCAATCATTCTGCCTCAGTGTTTTTCTCCTGCCTGCCAGTCTGTCACGGAAACATCTTTGAGCATCACTCACTCATCCCCCCGTCAAAGCCTTTATGTGTTGCGGTGACTCTATTTTTATCGGCAACCAAAAACACTTCACCGGTGGGTTTGATTTGTCAGTTCTTACAGCTTGCCGCTGGCTCTGTGGTGTTCCAGTCCTGTGGTCCTCTGACATTCTACACAGGTACGTGGATGAAGATCTGGGGCAATTTTCTGTAGAAACAGCCACCCGTTTCCTTTAATGTAGTGACAACAGAAAAAAAAAATACAAAAAACACAATCCAACACGACTCATGCCATTTGAAGATCTTGCGTGTTCATATCTGCTTGTGCCTTCTCCACTCTTTAGCTGCGGTCTTCTCTGATCCAGCTGCTTTAATGTATATTTCACTCAGATTATTATCATCATTATCAATATATCATTATTTTTCAATTGTAGTTTAATGTCACTCTGCTTTAAGGCCTGATAAATTATTCTGCTTTGGAAAACTCCATTACAATAGGAACTTTTTCTTTAAAGAAGGCTGTTCTTATAAGTTATTCTGCAGGGAAGGCTTTTTGGGAGTGTGTTTGTGTGTGTCTGTGTGTGTATATTCACAGACATTTCAAAATGCTCACACGCACCTTAAATTCGGATGTCTGAGCACGAGCATATGAGACAGAACAAGCAAGGTGGGAGGAAAAGCAGGCGGAGGCTGAGGTAGGTGGGGTGGGATGGGGTGGGGGGGGGGGGCAGATTTTTGTTGCGCCGAGTCTTTATTCTCTGCATGCCTCTGAAGACAGTGGTCCTGGGGTGGGAAAAATACACAAGGGAGATGTGTTCAAAGCTTGCGAGCTCGGTGACGATCCTCTGTCAGATCTTTAGCCGTTTGAAAAGTTCATATAAACTGAAAGACAGCCGCTGGGAAGCGGTCTTTGCAAACTCAATGAGAGTTTATCATCTCGGCACAGGGCGAGGTGCTGTTTGAGGTGGAAACGCGCTGCCTGTAATCTCATTCTACTCCAGAGGTTTATCAGGGACCCCTCCCTCCTCAAAGGACGAGTAGACCGGCATGGTCCTTATAAACAAACAGAGCAGGGGCTGTCATGTGTCTCAGCTTTGAGCTTCCCAAAAAAACAACACAGCCTCAGAGTGATAAAACATTGCTCTTTGTGCGAATAAACCATCAGAAGAAGCTTTGTGGATGGGAAACGATACTAGTAATTATAAAGTGGACATATTCATAAACATCCAAACAGTTAATAGAGTCCCTCATATGAAACCTTGCACAGAATTGGCACATAAATTATGTTGATAACCCAGAGGTTTCTGAAATAAAGCTCCCAAAATTAGCATTTTGTCCAACGCCCAGCTGTGACTTGTGCAGCATCTGAGGAACCTGGAATCCAAAGGCCTCCGCAGGCGTTCTCAAACATTCACCGTAGCCCCGGCCTGTTCCAGACACGTTGTCCCAGCGGGATGGGATTTGAAATCTTGCAAAGATCACACAGCTAGCTAACGAGAAGGAAGCCCAAAGATCAGCAGCTGCTCATAAAGCGTTAACAGAGCAGTAAATACTCAGGAGCATTTACAGAGTGCTGGAATGGAGAACTGATTCATTCCTCTTCTCCGTTGCTTTGTACTCATTCACGGATTTTGAAGCACGTCCATGTTGTTTGAAAGGAGTATGACGGCGAGGGTCAAGGTGCGACCAACACAGCATCCATACTTTATAAGGAGTAGGCACAGTTAATTTAGCTTTCCTTCATATTTGAATTGCTTTTGCTATTTCACATGCGTTTGATGAGCCTAGGCTATCAGGTTTAGCCTTTGTATTGTAAATCAGTCAACATCCTTCCAATGTGGACTCCATCACTGGGCTTTGAGCTGAGTACTAGAGTTTTGGAATGGGCTTTTTCTTTTTGTTTACACCCCCGTCTTTATCTGCGTCAGCGTCATGCCCATATTTGATACCATTTCTTTTATCGCTTTGTTTTTGTGCAGCTGGATGCAAGCGTAACCGAAGAGGTGTCACCACATGTCCTCAAATAGTCACATATCAACTGCTTCTCCACATCTAACAAGCAAAAGAAATTCCACATTTAGAGGTTCGAGCCTTTGGTAGATGGTGTTGCACACAAAACTACCATGTGGAAGAACCCAGATTGCGTCCAGTCCTGACCACTAGTGTTTTGAGGTAGCTTCTCTGGCTATCAAATCCTGCCCCTTCTTTTATAGCATTTCTGGGTAAATGCCATAAACAGTATTTCTGAGAAACTTAATTAGCTACCGAGCTAGACCTAGTATTTCTTCGGCCTCTGTCTGCGTTCACGGGCCGACTGTTGGAATAGAAATGGCAGCTTTAAGTCGAGATCCTGCTTTTTATGATAGAGCGAGACAGACAGGAAGGTAGTCGGCCGCTCACACAAATGCTAACCTAAACACGGGAACGATCCAACACTGGTTAGGCTTAAAAAGACCCACACGGCAGCGATTTCCTGGGCCTTGGGAAAAAGGGAAGAAACAGAGCGGTGCGAGGGGTTGACAGTAATTGTCTCATTTAGAGGCCGGTGCCCACAGGTAAGAGTGATTACGGAAGGCCATTATTCTCTCCTGCCTGTGGGCGTGTGTGTTTGAATGCCACGGCGGCCAGTCTTTCAGGCAGGTCTCAGCGGCCGATTACAAAGGTGCGACTGCTGTGCAAAATCCAAATGTGACACATGAAAGACAAAAGTGTGGATCAACAGAGGGTGTCTCGGCCCCATTCCACTACTTTGCCGTCGATCTGACAGATGGCATGGGCCCGTCTCAGGCCCTGGCAATGAGGAGAGC